TTAAAATAAAAACCACAAATTAACTTGTTTTTGTGAAAGAAAATTCTTTGCAACTAATCAGCACTGCCTCCAAACTAATTACCAGCCTCTGCTTCTTCAGTTTCCTTTATGCCTCTTCTTACACATATTTATATCACTTGGTAAGAACATATCCCTGTAAAGCACCTTAGTGCTGATCTCTCTGTGGAGGACAGAAACATTTGCTTTCCATCATTTTACTGTGACTACTTCACAATACTGACCTACATCTCTTCTCTTTCCCATAGTGATAGCAGATTATCCTTTTAGTCTTCAAATCAGAGGAAGAGAAAAGCATCATCATGTCCAACCTCTGGTTCCCTCTTGATAGTCACATTTTGACTCAACAACTTGCAGGAACAAGAAAAACAGAAAAATCAGCACTGACAAGAAATCTGAGACTTCCCAGCCATAATGCTTGGGAAGGAAATGAGTTCTACCCTTTTGGGAAAGGGAAATTGCTTTGGAAGTCTAGACTGACCCCTTCCTTTCCTGACTCCCTCCTCCCTTAAGCCTACCCATTATTTTTAAGACCAAAAGCCATAGGAAGGGAGAGGATACAAAGGAATCACTGGGCAGTTTCCAATGCTGTGTGTAAGCAAAACAAAATTATAAGCAGATATAAGCTATTTTGACAGTTCAAAAATTGGTGCCAGTTCAATTATGGGAAGGGGATAAGAGGCATGGAAAGAGAGAGAGTTAAAGGACTAGGAAAGGAAAATGGACAAGGATACTGGCAGCATCTGGGATAATCAAACTGAAAAACAGGGTTAGGGGAAAAGACCAGATAAGGTTGCAGCCAGGCAGTCTGGCTATAGCATCAACCTGGGTTTGCCTTTCTATCATTAGAACTATTTGCCAGCAGCAAATCTCTAGGACTGTGCTGGTGAGAGGGAGAGAATTGAAAAAATGTTACTGGCAAATTCATTATAACTAGAGGGAACATTACTGACGACCACCCAAAAGGTAAAGATGTGGTAAGGACAAAAAGAAAGACATGATGACACCAAGCAGCTGTGAGATAGAAGCTGAACAGCAGGGAAACTTGAGACAATCAATCAAATGAACACAGATGCATTTTAAAAGAAGCCCAGAGGGGCCAGAGAAGTTGAGATGCAGAAGAGACAGAGGTCACCAAAAGAAAAATGACCAAAGCAGCTTGTGTATACCAGGGAAGCCCAGAAAAATTGAAACGATGGCCTAAACATCAAAGCTGGAACCAAAGATGCACGAGGAAAGTTAGGAGGATAGTCCAGTGCAAGGAACAATCCTGGAGCAACAGAGAAAGGATAAAAGAGTGAGGGCAGAACTCTCCTGGGAATTATGAGAGTAATCTAGAGCAGCCCAGGAGAGGGCAAAGGGAATTCAGGCAGCAGATAGAGAAATGAAGGATGCTGTGTGTATGAAACAAAGTGTGAGTGTGTGTGGGAGAGAGCACACACTTAAAATGACTGGGCCTTGTCTGTGTATTATAGCTGACATATTTATGTGCAAAAACTTCTTTATATGAAAACTTTATGTGCACGGTACAGTGCACAAACTACACTGTACTGTACACATTTTATGTATTCTCTTTTTCTGTCTAGGGCAAAGGATTCTATTTTTGATGGTTGAAAAGGCCTGCACAGTTTGATTCATTTGTGACAAACTTGATCATTTTCCCCATTTAATACTCTGAGCTGTCTTTGTGGAAATAGAGACATTGCACCTGGCACTTTAATTTTTTCCCCTTGTGAAAAAACAAATCCAAGCTAATACCTAGAGAGCAGTAGTTCTGAGAGATCAAAACTTTCCATTAGGTAAGAGCAGAGGTCAAGTAGGACTCTAAGTCTAGTCAGGACCTTTCTAACTGAGAACAAACTAATACACATGATGGGTCTCTCACCATCATGTCCATCCCTGACTTAAAAAAAAAATTACCAGTTTTAAGACACCTTTACCCCCTTCTTTCCGCAGATAACGCATGTCCTACTTTAGTTTTTGTGATAGTGTAGCAGCACATCATTAAAGAGCTCTTAGTGAAGATGGCTGTTAATTCCAGCTGCTGAAATATTTTTCTTATCTTGGGGGTTGAACTGGGTAATAACCCAACCACCTCAGTTATATTAAGATCAGTTCCCACAAGTTTCAATAAAAGAAATGATTTTTTTCCCCCTGGACTGAGTGCCCAAAATGATGTTTCCCTCTGCAAGCAAATTTCTCTGGCTTAGGAAAAGTATGGAAGATAGTCTCTCTGAATCATTCTCCCTGAATCAAAACATCATGTAAAACAGGAGCTGGAAAGATACAGCCCATGGGCCAGACCTGGCCTGCCAGGCCATTCTATCCAGCTCACAGAATCCCTAAGAAATTTAGAAAATATTTATCTGCTCCCAAATGCCTGTCAAATACTACAGGAGCCAGGGGCGGTAAGACCCAGGGGGAGCCATCAGCAGGAGACAGGAGGCAGGAGGCCAGCCCCACCCCACCCCACCCCACACCCAGCCATTTCCCTGCCTTCTTGCCCCCTCACTGCTCCAGCACCATGTGGCTCCCGGCTGCATCGCCAGACCAGGAGCATGGGGATGCGCTGGTACCCTGGTGTATGTGCATGTGAAAAAGTATAGGGAAGGACTGTGTGTGTGTGTGTGTGTGTGTGTGTGTGTGTGTGTGTTCATAGGGCGAGTCCCACACATACACCGCACCATACACATACACCCCTCCCTTGCACAGCCATACCCAGACCCCCATATCCACACCCCTCCAGACACTCCAGCCACCCTCCCCCCACACAGTCTCCCACAAACCCCATACCCAAGCCCCACATATTCACACTTACCCGCATGCTCCGTCACCCCACACCCCCACACCTACCCACCCCCACAGACACACTCTTCCCCACACCCAACATACCCACACACACACAGCCCCTCACAAACCTAAACCTACCCCGCCACTATATAAAAGAGTAAGACTGCATTTAAGCTATTATATACAATCACCTCTATGTACACTACACAAACACATGTAAACCAGGACAAAAATATTTTTTGAAAACAAATTAATGAATGTTGTAGATGTTCACTGTTTAGAATATAATTTGATATTTTTCTGGTTCTGAGGTGGCAAAACCCCTTGCTGAAAGGAGTATTTCCAGGGGCAAAGGAAGGGACTTCTGGTGGCAAAGGTCAGGGATTAGGGGGCGGGACTTCCAGCCCCAAGATAGTGACCAGCAGGCGGGACACCTGTCAAGGGATGGAGCTACCCATGCAGCCTGTGGCAGCTTGCCAAAACTTGGTAAGCAGCCATCTGCCCAAAATAATTGCCCGCCCTGATGTAAATCATGTAGGCTAGGGACAGACATTACACACAAACCGGTTTAAGTGATCAGAAACTGGTTTAAAACTAAAAGAACAGCTGTTCAGTGCATATAAACCAGTTTGAAAATGGCTGAAACCAGTAAGATAAACCTGGTTGAATGTAGTATCAGACTTAACTGATTTGGCTCAAACCGGTTTGTGCAATGACTGTCCAAGACCCCTTGCTGGTTTAAATTAAATCAGACTCCCCCAGCATCCCAACATGCTCTCTGGGCTGGGCGGGGCTCTCAGCTTCACAGCAGGGCTGGCCCCTCCCCTCTGCTCTGTGGCTGCAGCTCCAGTCGTCTCTGCAGGCATCTGCCTGGCTTCTGCTCCCCCCCTTCCTCTCCCCTCCCCACTCTCTGCTAGGCAGGCATTCCCCTGGCCCTCACAGACACCTCAGCATTAGCTGGCAGACCACATGCTGGCTACCTCTGAGCTGTGGCACATGGGACAAAGGCAGAATCAACAGATAGCTGGTGATGTCCCTCTGTTGTTTTCTTAAAGGGCTGATAAGCACTGAATTAGGGGTGGTAAACATTCCCTGCTGGGCTGCTCTAGGAGGTAGGGGGGGAACCCCTCCCTAATCATAGCACCTTGGTGGGGCCTGGCCACACCCCACCCCCCAGCTCAGCTCTGTAGAAGGGAAGAGAAGGGAGGGACGGCTGCTCTAGTGCCCCGCAGCTTCTAGCCTGAGCCACTGCAGGTATGTGCCTGCATTACTGGGATGTCTGTCTGGTTATAAACTGTTGTAGCCTAGCCAGGTTAGACTAACCTGCAAAGACTGAATCAATTCAGGCTCAGGCTTTTTGAATGTCTCTCCCTAGTGATACTGTTTGACATATTGGAACTTGTTGATGTAGTGGCCTAGGACCCTCCCTTTCTAAATCATAGTCAGGCTTGGGAAGCCAGCTCTGTTTTGTAAACAAGGTTAGCAAATTGCTGTTAAGCTATTCAGTTCCAGTAATCAGCATCAGGTTAATGACAGCCACTCATTCACTTTCTCATTGCCAGACCAGAAATAGCTGTTCAGCTAAATACTTCCCAAGAAATGTTTAACGCATCAAAAGTAAATGCAATTAGGTCACAGATAAGTTGTTCCTGTATCTGCAAACCCTATCCTTGCATATACAAGTGATTTAAAACAGCTTTAACATTCAGAGACACATTGAGATGCTTTACAGGACTTTTGGAATACATTTTCAAAGCACATAAGGCTCATGCTAACTAACTTTTTTGCAAGTCACAAGCAAAATAATGAATTTTGGTTTTTAATAATGAATTCTGTTTATTATCTGCTACCTGTCAATTACAGCCTTGTATTGTTTACAGTATACCAATGATTTACTGCAGGAAAACTACCAATTTCCCGAATGATCATGGAGAATTCTGCTACATTCCATATAATGTAATTGTGTGGGCTAACAAATCAAAACATGTAAAAGTATCTTTCCTGCTCATCTTAACAAGCACAATGTTTTATGCAACTAGAAACTATTTGATGCTGGATCAAATGGTCCTATATGCTTTCTAGGCTTGCTAAATCATTTAAACATGTAAAGCAGACTACTGTAATGCATAATAACTAATTAAGCATTTTGGAAACTCCAACCGGCAGACACAATAGTGACACACCGTACTTACAGAGCAGAGCATGGAAAAGATGTGGTGTGCTGCTTCCAAGTGCCTGGCATTTGTAGGCTGCCAATCACTGTGTTAATCTAATGCTGCTGCTGAGACCGATGATGTTACCGTTGCCCTTAATGATGTTTGATAGCAGAATGAAGACATTACCTATAAAAAATTAAAACACGATCATTTAACACCCCTAAAATCATACCTTCTGCTCCACTGGAGTCTGTGCCCTACTTCAAGTCTCAAACAGCAGACAATGGCAGTAAATGCCTCAATTTCATCTAAAGCAGCATCAGGTGGCACTTTTCTAACTGATTAGAAGGCCACTTATCCCAAGGGGAGAAGTTAACAGACAGAAAATGACTGTTTTATAACTGGAAATATGGTTTATCTGAAGGAACCTCCTGGAGCAAGAGCTTTAACTACAGGGAACAGAGAGCAATTTTTCTGCCCTGTGGTCACCCAGCATGGCACAGTAGAAGGTACTGAAGATGAGTCACCTCTACATGTGATGGAGCTAAGACTGAAGGGGTACTGGATGCAGAGCATAATAAATAAAAAGACTGTGTGCACTCCTAACAGATCCCGATGACATCATATACCGTGGGAACAGAACTTGATTCCTTTCTAATCAGAAATGCAATACATTTCCTAAGATTAGGCTATTGCACAGTATTCTACTGAAAAAACATTGCATGTGCTTCAAATTGTTTTTATTTTTAGCCTTTATCTATTTATAGAAGATATCCCATTCCAAAAGCAGAAAACAGATGGGGTGGCATATTAGTAATACTGATATACGTCATTGCTGCTACATGCATGGGAATTATCATTAGTAATTATTTAAAGATGCAAATGGTTTTCACAAACAGCTAATGTTTTTCCCCTCATTCTATTTGCTTGCTTATTCAGGGACCAAAAATAGGTATGCACCACTGCCTGGTGCAAACACTCTGTATGTAACACTTGAAACTCAATTCCCTCCTACTAACATGCACAGTTAATAAACACTCAGACAATATCTTTAATTTACACATTGGCTTAAAAAAGGTGCTATTTATGTTTTACATATAAGCATAGATTGTGCCTTTACAGATGATAAGTATTTACAGCCTCATTACATACAGCTCAATTTCACAAGCTAACAGCAAGATACTTTAAAGATAGGCCCTTGCCAGCAGTCTTGATCTAGGTACAACCTTTGGGAAAGCTCAGTCTGTGGTTAGTTTGGTAATTGGGAAAATCCAGATCTGAGTCAAAATTTCAGGTGCTTTCTGATCCAGATGTCTCTAAAAGCAGTTCTCGAGGAGCCCTGCCTGGATTTGTAATGGGCTGCTAAGAACCACAATGCTTCTTGAGTTTGGGGTTCCTGGAGCTGCATTCCTTCTTTTGGTCCATGGCTCTGCTGTAGTTGGTCATATAAGAGCACCCAGGCTGGCTGCTACAGTATCAGAAGTTTGAAGGCCCAGAGACCCTCCATTCTTGGAGCGAAGTCCCCAGCTCTGCAGCAAGCCAACTAAAACGGCTGGAAACTCCACCGCTTCCCAGGTTGTCTGCCATGGAACAGGGCCTTGACGTCCAGATTTGTGGCTCCAGGACCACCTTGCCCCTTGGACTGGTCTGAACCAGGGACTCCAGAGCTTCCAAAATCACAAGGCACCTACAAAAAAGGCCTAGGCTTTCTAGCCTGAGGCAGTCTGTATGAGGGTGCTACTATAAAGCAGCAGACCTTGGGAGTCCCAGCAGCATCTGTCACAGTGATGACAGGGATTCTGGTTTTCTCTGATAAAAAAATCCCAATTTTTTACATAAAAATATAACCCAAAATCCACATTTTTCCATGATTAAAATGAAATGTGTATATATACACACACATACATGCAGAGAGAGAGGTATTTCATTTTAATCATGGAAAACTATGGATTTGGGGGTTTTTTACATCAAAAAATTTGGGATTTTTTTTTAATCAGAGAAAACCAGGATCCCTGGTGATGAACCAGATAATGTCAGTTGCACTTAGCAGCTGTGAGTCCTGGGGAACATACTGTGTTTCAGAAACACCACAGTTCTGTGTTTTCAAAACCAGTTTTGTTTTTTGGTATTTTAAAATAATTTTACATTCACAAGAATGTAAAAACAGTATTTGTTTCTGTCTGATTTGAATGAAAACCAAACAATTGCAGGAAAACTGCATAAGTTGTTGAATAAAAATAATAACATTAACATCTTGGCTTTTGGTTCTTTTAAATATCCAGCTGTGCATTTATAATGAGACTAGATTGAGCAAACTACAATCTTATACAGTTTATAAGGCATATGTTATGGTAAAAAGTTGTTTTATAAGCACTGCTTTTTCTTGTACATTGTCCCTTTCCTAATTACTTCCTAAGCAAATATTTCACTGTTTAGATGCAGTGGCGGTCAGCAGAAAACCCCTACATCTATATAAAATACTAAAAGTTCTTTGACTAGCTTAATATTAATGATAATCTGGGACTGGACAGTTTAGGAGACTATACCGAATGTTCAACAATTATATGATTTTTTGTTGTTCATTTTAAATCACAGGTTACACTCAGCTTGGAAAGTTCCAGATGTCTGTATGTTAAGATAACTGAGATCCCTGATTCAGCAAAGTATTTACCTGCTAATCTTCAAGTACGTGAACCTATATTTCAATTAAATTAATCACTTAAGCAAGTGCTTAACTTTAAAAGATTTTAAGAAGATAAGTAAAAGCACTAAACAAGTAGATAAAAAGGTAAGGACAAAAAGCATCACTTTTTTCAGAGTAAAATTGATAGTCGACTGCAAGGAACATCCGTCCCACATCTAGATTCATGAAAGGCCATGCCTACTGGCAGATAGCTTTTAAACATACAACAAAAAGCTGCTATTTTGTGGTATACCATATTATTCATATTTTATTACATTATTCATTGGGAAAAAATCCTACTGTACAAGTTGCTGCTTGTTCTGAAAGTACTGGTTTATATAGGTACCTGGCTATTAATCGAAATAGATTAAAAAAGAAAGGTGGTTTTTTTTCCCCAAGTCATCTATAAACTAATACAAAAATGATTTACTTAAGTGATAAGGCTTATGATGGAAGAATGTATAAGGTAATAAAATGTCTTTTATAACTGGTTAAGCACTGAAGCAAAGCTGAGGCATTTACCAACTGTAAATGTGGTCTCTAGTAAGAATATTCCAGCGCTATGAATATTCTCACAATAAAACAAGAAAAATACAGACAGCCTGATTGTTTATTTATTGGTCTTTCATCTTTTGGAGTTGATTGGATTTGAAATCATCATTTTCCTATGGCTTTGTTACTACTTATATGGAGGATGTGTGGCTTCAATAAGTAACTGAGCAAGTTTAAAAAGGCAGATTCATTGGAGGTCAAGTGGGTGAAAATTTGATCAAAGCAGTGTCCGGAGTGGAAAAGGAGGGATGTGAATGGAGACCAAAATTTCCAAGACAGGCACCTAAGTATCTCCAGCAACGTATGTCTTTTGAAAAACTAAAAGATCAAATTCAAACAGGGTGCAAGCATGTGCAAATTGTTTGACTTCAAAGAAACTGTACTGTCTTACACCAGATCTAAATTCAGTCCTAAATATGTCACTACCCATTTTGTGCACATAAATGTTATACTGTAGGCAACAATTTAGGAGTCTGTTTAGAAAATACTGGCTCATAGTGATGATAAATAAAGATTTCAGTGTTGTATGTGAAAATAAAGTTGGATTTTTCTAGTCCATGACTGAGCACAATTCTTTTGTTATAGAGTGCTGGATTATCACCCTTTAGAAAAGTATGTAGAAATATTTCAAGGCTCCTGAGTTATTTCACTCTACTGCCAACTTAAAAATCAGTCTTCTATAAACACCCAAAATGAAAACTTCACCATTAAAGCTTTATCAATTTTTTGAAAAACAAAAAGAGGTTTAATTGTTATCATCATCATCATATCTTTCTCTATTTCACCCATCACTTTACTTATACTGTAAGTTTCTCCAGACCAGGATCATGTCACATCATGGATATGAACAATTCCTATTAAACTAGGGACCTAGTTTCAGTTGGGCCCTGTAGGTACCACTGTCTTGCAAGTCATACCAACCTCCTTTAGGGCCAGGTACAAACATTATACTTTTACCAGTGTAAGTGATTGGAAACCAGTCTATACCAATGCACAGAACAGAAGTTTGGCATGCATAGATGGGTTTCAAAATTGTAGAACCCGGTCTAAGATCTGCCCTCCTCCCACAAAGGATGAATGTGTGTTCTGTTCACTACCAATCTAAACTACATTGCTTACAGAAAACCACATGACTAGGGACCTACCAAATTCATGGTGGGGTGAATGGCAGCTCCTTTAATCTTAAGATTCCCTGTGCACTCCCTCCCCCCTCCTCCCCCATGATTGGCAAAGGGGTCCCGCCACTCACCGCTTGCTCCTGATCGTCAGGGAGGCATAAACCACAGTTTAAATATGGTACCATTTTTGCCGCTCATTGCAGATTGGTCAAGGGGCCCTCACAGCCACACTGTCTTGTTGCTGACTGGCCAGGAGGCAAAAACACCACCAAATTTTAAACCATGGTTTTCACCTTCTCTCTGATCAGAAGTGAGCAGTGGGCCAGGTGGGGCAGAGGGAAACATGGGGGAATCTGCAAAATAAAAG